GTAATTTTTTAGCCCGTGGTCAACTACAAGATGCTCTTTCCCATTATCATGCTGCTGTTGGTAAGCATAATATTTAATTTTTATTGACATCTTAATGTGTTCATACATATTATAACTTGCTATAATTTTTTGTTGCATCAAGTAAAATAATTTCTTAAAAAACTAGAAAATATAGGACCTTTGTTATAATGCGACTTTTTCTTTTACTAAATTAAATAATAAACAACTTTTATGTATACATATTTTAAATTCATAAATTAATTCTATTCTATTAAAGTTTAATAGAAATCTATGAAGTTGATAATATTAAAAGTTAATAAATTCTTAAACAAAAATTTTGTCTTTTACCAATAATATTTATTTATGTACAATTTAGTTCTTTATTTCATGTTATTAATATTCAATTCAATTATTACTAGTTATTTTATATTATACATAAATATTAATGTTACTTAAAGTTGGTAATATATGTTTGATTTATTTTTATTGAGTAATATTTTTTTTTATAGAGGGTGATCCTGGAAACTATTTAACATATTTCAAAAGAGGAACTGTCTATCTAGCTTTAGGAAAAGCCAAATTTGCATTATTAGATTTTGGAAAAGTGCTCGATCTCAAACCAGATTTTACATCAGTAAATATAGATATGAATATTTATTTAAATAAAATAGTTTTAATTAATAATAATTCTTATATTAGGCTCGATTTCAACGGGGTGTTGTTTATATGAAACAAGCATCATTTGAAGAAGCTAAAAAGGATTTATATAATGTTGTAAGTAAAATTTAAGTAATTTTTTATGACCACAAATTTGTTAAATATTTTTTTCAAACCTCTTTTAGTATATAAACAATGGTGATTTTTCTGCGGAAGCAAATGAATTATATTCTAAACTGGATGGTCTTGCTTATGATGTAGATTTAGGATTATATTACCAAGATCAAAATGACCATGCTAGTGCAGTACAAATTTATGATCGATTGATAGAGCATTGTCCATGGGCCCCTTCTTTGCGTGAAAACCGTTCTCAATCTCATTTGAAAATAGGTAACATTCAACATGCCATAATGGATCTACGAACTGCTACAAAGCTTCAATCTGATGATACTGATGGTTATTATAAATTATCAAAGCTTCATTATAGTATAGGACAAGTATCTGAATCACTTAGGTAAATCAATGATTCAAAATATTTTTTTTACTTAATGATTTTAAATTTTCCATGTTTTCCCATAGAGAAATTAGAGAATGCTTAAAATTAGATCCAGATCATAAACTATGCCATAGTCATTATAAACAAGTTAAAAAAGTTGATAAATTGCTTATTGACAGTCAATCAGCATTTAATATTAAAGATTACTCCAGTTGTATTACATTTTCTAAAAAAGTAACATAAA